ATGCAACCAGACATAACTACAGGAACCAGGATAATGGAAATGAAACAGGGAAGTAAAGGAAAAGAAAGAACCTGAAAGAGAAGAACAGTAGGAAACAGGCCTTAATAAGGGAGATATGGATTCAAAGTGGGTTTGTTTAAGGGAGTTGGGGAGGGTATACAAGGAACCTAGGGGATAAAGGGAAAGGAGCTCAAGAGAGGTAGGACCATAGGAGAAGGGTATTAGTAAGGGAGAAAGGGGGGAAATGGGGGCACCTTAAGTGGGAAAACCATGATGGAAGGGTGAGACAATGCGAGAGATAAACAATGCCTAGCTAGTTTTGAAAACCAGAGGGAACCATATTACTCCTACAACCTACTGACAAATTATACATAGCAGATCAAGAAATATATGTCTAGGTAGGGTTTATCTGAGAACAACTGGTCTTTGCCCAAGATTTATCTACATGGCACACAGTAATTAAAAGTACCAGACTGGTGGAACTAACCTTCTTGGATGTTTAACAGACATACTTTGAGGCCTATAATAATTTGGTCAGAGGGACATAAAGGACACTTTTTGCTCCTTGCCCTCCTAGGTCGACTAGTTCCAGGGGACTATGAACATCTCTTAAAATGTCCTGTAATTGTGGTAGGTCACCTGTCCTCTTGATCAAGGAGGCCGAGGAGACCCCACCAGATGGACCTGAACCAGTGTCCAGTCTATAAAGAGGAGGGTCAACACAGAGGAATCATTTCCCCCATGCTTCCAAGCGAAGCCAGCCATGAGCGAGCAGGACCTTTGACTTATCTTCACATAGGCAAACAGATCCTTAAATGATCTTAAGAGTGAAAATAAATTGGCTTATCTGGGCCAACTGTATGGCCTTAAACACCCAAAAGGAAAGCATAACCAAAGATTAAAGGAGCCAATATAATCTTTAAGAGTCCATATGTATAGCTAAATGCTACATAACAAGCAACAATGCCAGAAAAGCGATACCTTCTTTTGAGTTGATCGCCAGGGTGGCCAAAGGGATTCCCAGATAGTAACCAGCATAGAACTGGGAAATTGAATAGCAGACCCAAATCTTATCCAAAGGAATATTGACAACTGATTACTGCTAGATGAGGAACAGCTGACCCTCCTAAAACAAAGACCTCTAGATAGGCTTACTAGATTCACCAGAAGGGCAAGTAGTGGGAAATGGCTGGAGGTGCTGACAACATAGCAGACGGTAGCAGGGATATCAAAGTATAAGGGCTCTAGTGGGGGGAGGGAGGCTATGGTAGGGTGCTATCTGGGAAGTGGGTGTATAAATAAATTTTAAAAAATTCTCAAAGCATAAAAATTTGCTCCTTAATAATTAGTAGATGTGAAAAACATTACCATTGAAATCTACCTGATGACTTTATATCCATGCTCAGATGCCAAGGAGCTCAGAAAGTAACTGACTGTGACTAGTAATAATAAGATATATAGAGATTAGAAACGTATGTGCATCTTAGTGTCAGTTGAATTAAAAATGAATTTTTCTCTAAAAAAGAAAATTTGGAACATTGTCTGGGGTGTGTGTGTGTATGTGTGTACAGTATATGTGTATGCATGAATGTCAAGGCCAAGAAATCAATGTGAGGTATCTTTCTAAATCACTTTCTACTTTAAAAACAAATTTTTTTTTTTTATAGAGTCTCCCAATGAACTTATGCATTTGCTAGGCTGGCTGGCCAGTTAGCTCCAGGGACCCAGCTGTCTCCACTCCCCCTCCCCCCACCCCAGTGCTGGGATTACAGACAGGTGCCACCATACCTGGTTTTATGTGAGTTCTGGGAATCTGAACTGAGGTCCTCATGCATGCATAGCAAGCACTTTAAGGACCGAGCCATCTTCCCAGCCAAGGTGGACCTTTTATTCATAAAAAGAAAATTTAAAACTCTGTGTGTGTGTCTAATGTCAGAGAACAAGTTTGTGTCACCTTTATGTAGGTTTCAGGTCATCAGGCTTAAACTGTTGGGCAACTTGTGCATTTACCTAAGCCATTTCACTGGCCCCTAGTTGGACTTTTATTTATTTATTTATTTTTTGTCTTTTTTGAGATGGGGGTTTCCCTATAGCTCCAGCTGTCCTGGAACTCACTAGGTAGACCAGGCTAGCCTCAGACTTAGAGAGATCCCCCTACCTCTGCCTCCCAAGTGCTGAGATTAAAGGCATGCTTCATGCCCAGCTTGTTTGTTTTTTAATCACTAAAGTTCTCTGGCTCCTGTATACATATATGTGTGTGTGTGTGTGTGTGTGTGTGTGTGTGTGTGTGTGTCCACATTCCAGAATAGATCTGGTCTGTCTTACCTACCTATCTTACTACTTCCAACAATGTTGCAAACACAAAGGACTTTGAAGAGTTGTTGAATAAGCTACCTTATAGCAAACAACTCTAAGAACTTCTGCTCTTCTAGTTTACCTTTACTTAAATGCTAAAATTTATTCAAATCTTAGTGTCAAGATGGAACTATTTACATTTTATGTAAATTCTATGAATATATATCAGAATCAACAAAACAGTGGAACAAGTTTAACTTCTAATTTATTAGAACCCAGTAAGTGATGATTTTTTTCAAAGCAGAATTCCCATCAAATTAATAATTCAGGGCAAAATACATTTTAAAAAAAACTAAATCTTAAGGCAGAAGTAAAACATTATAAAAATAAAAAATAGCATGTCTAATACAGACTGTGGAATATCAGAATTTTAAGAGATTCACATAGTATTTTATAACACTAAAATGTTAATACAGTCAGAAATATCAATTGGTTCAAAATTGAGAAATGTCTAGGCTGCTAACTGAAGTTTTTGCTGTGTAGAATTACTACCATATAACCAAGTGACTATTTTTTTATGACAAAGGAACTAAGGCAGGTAATTTTATGGTCTTCATTTGTAAAGATTTCTAAAATATCAAATATGAAACTTTGCTAGGAGTATTTGTAGATTTATTTCCCCATGCTAATGTCCATGGGTGTGTATAACTTCCCTTTAACTCCATTTTAAAATGTCTGTGGATCATCATACTTTACTGTAGGCCAGACAACAAAAGAATGAAGTGCAAGGGCAAATGCTAGTTCATGTGTATGCAGGCTGAGAACCCAACCTAGGTCTTCTAGGTGTGCAGGTGCAGGTACACATTTGCGCACATACATGTGGAGGTCAGAGGTCAACCTTAATGGTTGTTTCTCAGGAGCCATGCACCTTGTTTTTTAAGACAGTGTCTCCTCACTGGGCCCTAGGGCTTGCTGACTGGGCTAGGCTGACTGGTGACAAACCCCAGTGATCCACCTGTCTCTGCTTCCACAACAATGGGATTACAGGTATGAGACACCATACTCAACTTTTGTTTATAATCTGATATTGTAGAAAAGCAAATTTTAATAAGTTATTGCATCTTTTACTGGTCAGTAAGTAAAATGAACTGAAGTATAAGAACTTTTATATCTCAACAAATACATCATATATTTCTTCTGTAAGTGTGAATTTTGATTAGAATCCTAGTGTGGGGACTTTTCATGCTTGTTTACTTGTTCTTTATTTTTTGGTATTGGGAATCAAACCCAGGTCTCACATATCTGAGGCAAGGACTATCCCTGAGCTACCTTCCCTCCCCTCTATTTCATGTTTATGTGCAATTAACAGTAGTCCTTCTGAAAAACAAAACAACCTTAAATTTCCCCTTATGATCAAAACCTTTCATTTTTAGGGAGCAAGAAAATACTTAAAAGTGCTTGAAATCCAAAAACAAGGATTAGCTCGCTTACACATTCAAAAAATGAACAATGTCAAAAAAAGATAAAAGGCATTGAAAATAATTCTGTAAGTCTAGCAATATGAGTTTGGTGGGTTCTTAATATTAATTACGAAGATTCATTTCATTACAAAGTTTTAGGTTATCTTACTAAAACAGCTGGAGACATCACTATACTTCTATTTGTGCATTAATAAAAACCTGTTAAAATTCCTTATTTAGTAGTTCTGGAAAAGTCTAATCAAATAAAATCATTAAAACTACCAGAAAAGCTTTGAAATACTGACTGTAGATTCAGGATCTGACCTTTAACTGAAGACCAACTGCAACTCTGAAAATAAAAAGAATTTTAGCCAGTGCTGACTATAGTGAAACAGTACTGGTATTGCTTGAAAAAAAAAAAAAGACATTGTCAGTCATGCATTCCACAACTTCAAGAACTAAGTAAGGAATAACATAAATATTGTTATGTCTTTGAAGATGATCTCTACTTTCATCAGGCCTCAGCTGAAAGTTAATCTGCCCAAACACATCAGCATTTGTGTAAAATACAAGGAGTAGGGAGGTGGTTCTGTCCACACGTCGCCTAGTGTTTAGCATCCAGTTCCCCCTTTTTGTGTAACAACCTAGCATAACTCCTTGAAGAGCATTGAATGAGGGGTAGAGAGAAGAGAACACCTATTGGGGTAACAGGGATATATTAGTGCCTAAAAATGTTCAGCTGAATAACCGCTCTCACTGTGGCTACACTATGTGCAACATATAACCTGTACAACCATTTTCTCCTGCTTGTCTATTTGTGAAAAAAAAAACTAGGCTTAATAAAATGTGAAATTTACATTAGTTTGCTTTAAATGCAAAGATTAACTGTTTTTGGCTCAGCTGTGTCATAACCAAAAAAGTATCTGCTTTGATAATACAGTATGAAAAAGTTCACATATGTACATGGGTACATCCTCCATTAAAATTTTTCCTTAAATCTCAATGTATCTTTACAACTGATACAACTGAGCTTTACAACAAAAGTCAAATTGACAAAGTAGAAATGATTCCATTGTACAGCAATTTAGGGTTTCTGTTTTTCCTTTAGGATTTAAAGGACATCATTGAAACGTTGCTTTCCATACTCTGCAGGGTCCATTTGAAGCTCTCGTTCTTCATCATCTGTAAGTAAAATAATTCCGCATCAATAAAAGTTTTTTAAAATTACTGCAGAAACCTAACTTCAAAACGTCTCAATTTTTTTAAGCCTTAAATTTTTTTCCCTCTTATTTCTTACCTACTACAAACAGTGCTCTACTATTTAGCTGCTTGGCTAAAGAGTGGAAAGTCTGTACCTATTTCACAAGACTACTTCATTTTAGCAAATACTCTCAGTTGGATGTGGTGGCTCATACCTCTAACCCCACCACTAGGGAATCGGAGACAGAAGGATCAGTTCAACACCAACCTGGACTACACAGTGAGCTTGAGGTCAACCTGGGTTACATAAGACCCTTTCTCAACAAAACAAAACAACAACAAACCTCAAAAGCCTAAAAACAAAACAAAAATCAAATCTCTGATGGTAGATAGATAGGTAAGTAGAAGATAGACAAATGTAGCAATACATAGTGTTAGCAAAACTTTAGGAACCCATAGCATTGAAGAGATAATCCTTTTCTATACATATTTTATTACTATGCTGCTGAAGGTTTTAGCCTTACAATTTAAAGTTTTGGTAGATACTCTTGTGTGTGTGTGTTTTGTTTTTGTTTTGTCTTTTTTGAGACAGGGTCTCCCTGTAGCCCCAGCTGACCTGGTACTCACTATGGGCTGGCCTTGAACTCACAGATATCTGCCTGTCTCTGCCTCCCAAGTGCTGGGATCAAAGCTGTGTACCACCACACCTGGCCTCTGTGTTGTTTTTTTTTTTAATTTCTTAAAATTTTATTTTATGTGAATGTGTGTATTGCCTACATGTGGGTAAGTGCGCCCATGCTGTGCAATGTCGGGCAGAGGTCAGAGGAGGGCGTCAACTTTTGTTTTTTTAAGCTAATGTATTTGTTTTTAAGGTTTTTTTTTTTTTGTTTGTTTTTTTGTGTGTGTGTGTGTGTTTTGTTTTTGTTTTGTCTTTTTTGAGACAGGGTCTCCCTGTAGCCCCAGCTGACCTGGTACTCACTATGGGCTGGCCTTGAACTCACAGATATCTGCCTGTCTCTGCCTCCCAAGTGCTGGGATCAAAGCTGTGTACCACCACACCTGGCCTCTGTGTTGTTTTTTTTTTTAATTTCTTAAAATTTTATTTTATGTGAATGTGTGTATTGCCTACATGTGGGTAAGTGCGCCCATGCTGTGCAATGTCGGGCAGAGGTCAGAGGAGGGCGTCAGATCCCCTGGGACTGGAATTACAGACAGGTGTTAGCTGCCATGTGGGATTCAAACCCAGGTCCTCTGCAAGAACAAGACGAGTGTTCTTAACCACTGAGCCATCTCTCCAGCCCCCTCTGTGTATATTCCTATGTCTTTAAAAACCAGTATCTTAGCTGGCCATGGGGATTCACACAGGACTAAGTCAAGGAAGCACTAGGGAGGTGGAGGCAGAAAGATTAAGAGTTCAAGAGCACAGACTGCTTTTTAGAGGACCTGGGTTCAGTTCCCAGGACCTACATGGCAACTAACTCCAGTTCCAGGGGATCCAACGCCCTCTTCTGGCCTGTGTAGGCATTGCATGCATGCATGCATGCATGTAGTGCACTGACATATATGCAGGCAAAACCACTCATACACATACTAATTGATTTACAAATTTTTAAAAAATAGTATTTTCATTTTATGTGTATGCGTGTATTGCCTGCATGTAGGTAAGTGCACCCGTGTCATGCGATGCCTGAGGAGGACAGAAGAGGCTGTCGAATCCCCTGGGTCTGGAGTTACAGTTGTTAGCTGCCATGTAGGTGCTGGGATCCAAACCCAGGTCTTCTGTAAGAACAGTCTGTGTTCTTAACTGCCGAGCCATCTCTCCAGCCCCTACAAATTCTAAAAACTTTTGTATTTTATGTGTATGAGTGTTATGCCTGAGTATGTGTTACTGCACCTATATTATGAAATGCCCGTGGAGGTCAAAGAGGGGCTGGAGTTACGGACAGTTGTTAGCCACCATGTGGGTGCTGGAATTCAAACCAGGGTCTTCTGCAAGAAAAGCCAGTACTCTTAACCACTAAGCCATCTCTCCAGCCCTAATTAATTATTTTTTCAGCCCTAATTAATTTTTAAAATGAGTTCAGGGCTATCCTTAGTTCCACAGCCAGTTCCCGTAGTCTAAGCTACTTGAGATCCTATCTCAAAAACTAACCACCATCTCTTCTAATGATAAACTAAATTAGTAATGAAAATATTAGAAAATAAGACATGAAAATAAAAGTCACTCCTAATCCCAGTATTTAACATTTCAGTGAAATTCTTTGCTTCTGTGCAAATAGCTTACCCTTGACTTCCTAAATGGATTAAAACTTAACCTTTTCCTTACCAAAAAGGAATTGCACAAAATTATAGGACCCTCAAAGCCTTTTGAGTAGCTCATTAAATGACTCTGGTTACAGCCTCCTTGTCTGTCAGCTACCATTTTTATATTGCCAGTGTATCTCTTACTAACAATCCTTTTTCTAGTTTTTGCTGCAAACTACAGAATTTGAAATATAAATGCTCAAAATAATTAAAATTATGTTAGAATAAGAACGAAAAGCATTTTAAGCTGGGCATGATGGCCCATGCCTTTAATCCCAGCATTCGGGAGGCAGAGGCAGGCGGATATCTATGAGTTCAAGGCCAGCCTGGTCTCCATTGTGAATCCAGGCCAGCTGTGGCTACAGGAAGACCCTGTCTCAAAAAGACCAAAAAAAGAAAAAAGAAAGAAAAAAAAAAGCATTTTAATAAGAGGCTGAGACATTGGCTCCCTGTGCAGTATATGCATTGTTTTTGTTACTGTTTGTTTGAAACAATTTCATTATACAGCCAAGGCTAACTAAACCCATAATCCTCCTATTTCAACCTCTCACTTGCTATTTTGGTCTTACAAAACTGCCAAACCAGGAGCTGGAGAGATGGCTCAGCAGTTAGGAGCACTGGCTTCTCTTCTTGAGGACCAGGGTTCCATTCCCAGCACCCACATGGTGGCTAACACCATCTGTAACCCAGGAGCTCTGACGCCCTCTCTGGCTTCCACAGGTTTGCACGCATGGATATACTTACATACATGCAGGCAAAACACTCATACACAATACAAATAGTGTGAAACAAACCAACTTTCTTTTCCCTTTCAACAACTTTACTGTTAAAATCATAGAAATTCCAGTGCACGCATTTGATCCTAGCACTCTAGCAGCAGAAGCAGGGCTACAGTGAGACTCTGTCTAAAAGAAAAATAAGTATGTATGTATGTATGTATGTATGTATGTATGTATATAAATTCTTTTTGTACTATAAAGTGACCACTTATTTATTTATTTATTTATTTATTTATTTATTTATGTCTTTCTGAGACAGGGTCTCCCTGTAGCCCCAGCTGGCCTGGAACACACTATGTAGACCAGCCTAGCCTTGAACTCACAGAGATCCACCTGCCTCAGCATCCAAGTGCTGGGATGAAAGGCTTGCACCACCACACACACCGATCACATCATTTTTTTTTTTTCCTTCATGCTGGGTATTGAACCCAGAGTCTCCTACATGCTAGGCAAGCACTCTACCACTAAGCTGTATCTCCAGCCCATTTGTATATTTGTTTGCTTTTCATTTTTGTGTTGCTAGGGATGAAATCCATAAACCCCTCCTTAAACATGATAGGCAGGCACTCTATTACTATATCCCCAGTCCTCTTTTACTGTTTTTTGTTTTTTTGAGACAGGGTCTCACTATATAGCTGTGGTTGGCCTGAAACTCTCTATGTAGATGAGGTTGGCCTTGAACTCATGGAAATCCACCTGCCTCTGCGACCCGAGTGCTGAGATTAAAGGCATGCACCATCAGGCCGAGCCCTCTTTTTGCTTTTCATCTTGAGATAGTAGCTCACTAAATTTGATTCAGCTGACCTTGAACTTGCAATCCCCTGTCCACATCCACAACCTCCAAAACAGCTGGGATTAAAGGCCTGTGCCAACAGGCCTAGCTTGATATCACATATCTTTAACAGTATAACTTGCCTCGTCTATTATGTAAAGCCTGAAGTTATATCTATATTCACATTATAGTTTTGTAAACATGGCAATTTTAAATTTATTTATTCTTATTTTGTGTATGAATGTTTTGTCTGTATATATGTAAGTGCATCCATGTCATGTGCCTAGGGAGGCAAGAAGAGGCTGTTGGATTCCCTGGAACTGGAGTTATGGACAGTTGTTAACCACCATGTGGGTGGTGGGAACCAAACCTGGATCCTCTTGCAAGAGACCTCTTAACTGCTAAGCCATCTCTCCAGCCCATACAACCAGTTTCTTATTAAAATACTCTGTACTTGATTAAAAAAAAAATCTTGGTTTCAAAAAGGGAAAATAATCACAAGCATTTTTCCAGATTGTTCTCCTTAGAATGTGAATTATAAAGCAGTATCAATTTATGCCTATAAACACATTTTTCAAGACATTAGTAATTAAAACAATCACTAGGAAAAACTACAAAGAATAAAAGCTATTGAAGAAAATTTTTAACTTTTCTGGATTTTTACATGAATAAATACAGAGAAAATGAGATAAAAGCAAAGGTCTGGGAATAGAAAACAATGAAATTTGCTCCTGGCTTGGACACTTAAACACAGCATAGTTCTTAAACTTCATTGGACCTATAATTTACCTTCTCAGTACAACAGGGACAGCAACTGTTTTTCCTACTTCAAAATAATGTATGCAAAAGCAGTTATTTACAAAGTCTTCTCTAAATATAAGGAGGGTTTCACAAAATTGGGCTTTTTAGTGTGCACATCTGCGCGTGCATGTCTAAGGATTGAACTCAGGAGGTGCGCATGCTAAGCAAGCACTCTTCCAATGAACTACACATCTCCAGCCCCGCTATAACAGAACTTTAGTATGATGATTATACACAGTTTTCATGAGCTCCATAGGACTTTTGGAATACTGCAGTGAGCTATCATTTATAGTAACTAGAATCTGTGTTTCATGTAGTCACTCTACCCAGAATTCAAGTTTTTATCAACAATTTATAAAGTATTACAAAATTACCTTAAAAATGACATAGGATAACTGATATACTAAAGATAATTATATAGACTATAATTTTAGTTCATGTAGCAAAATCTGTAACTGCTAAGCATGATAAAATGCCAAAGGAAAAATAAAAACATTTGTTAAGTAATTCATACATTCCCTTTGAATTTAAGAAAGGACTAGCGCCCAAAGAATACTCTGTAAGAACTTAGGACAGTAAGCCGGTAAGACGCCATGAAATCATAAACTAACCCATAGGTCAAAGTAAAATTATTCTTTAAAGGAGGCAGCCCAGAGGGAAAAAAATTCTGGATTTGCTTTTACTTAAAAAAAATTACTAGCCGGGTGCGGTGGCGCACGCCTTTAATCCCAAGGCTTGGGAGACAGAGGCAGGTGTATCTTTGAGTTTGAGGCCACGCCTCATCTATACATCGAGTTCCAGGACAGCTGGGGCTACAGGGAGACCCTGTCTCAAAAAGACC